AAACAAAACTACTGATCTGGACATGTTTTGAAATAATTGAAAAGGTGGGAGAAGCTTTCAAATGGAGGTTTTACTGATTGTAATTAACTTTGGCTGAAAGACTTTGATTAGGACATTACTTTTTTGCATAAGAGATTTTCAATACTATTCAACGTAGGCATACAGCAGGAGAACTAGTAGTTATTTATGCTCAGTTTCCAAATTAATCCAAATAACTGAATTTTTGAAAAATGAATGACGTGAAGGATTCCAGTATATAATATTGAAACAACGAGCAGGAGATATTCAGAACATTACGTTCTGTTGTGGCAGCACTGCGCACACGTGCGCCTCGTCACTGTCATGCAGTTGGGTGAGGGGTTTTGCTGAGTTAATTAGGTAGTGTCAACTCACCTCAGGCACCCGATGGAATTTTTTACACATATTTCATGACATATAGATAGATAAAATGACTTGAAGGAGGAGGACTGCACTTATTTTGAGGAATACCAACAAAATATAACGTGCCTAATTCCATACCACATAGTTACCAAAAACACACAGCTGGGAGAGGTGTACGCATGCACGTGAGCGCGCATGCACACACACACTATAGGTAAGAAAATGGCCTGTGCTCTCGCTCAGATCCAAGTGCTTTCTCTTTTCGTTCTCTGGGTTTGCAGACCCTCTCTGTTACCTTCCGAAGTGTTCTCATCGGTTGCTCTCACCATTAGGAAGGACACTTATCTCTATTTGCCAAAAAATAAAAGAAGGAAAAAGCCTCAGTTTCCTGCTTATATGATTGATCAAAATTCATTTCAAATCCCGTCTTGATGAGATCGTGCCTAACATAGTCTCTTCTTTCGACATGCTTGGCGCCCCGCTGCGGGCCCTGAGTCCTCTGGCCAGATGCCTCTGGGACAGTCCCCTCGGGGCTGGTGGAGGGGATGCATTCACTGCAGCCCCTCGGGCAGGAAGAGGCCCCTTGGAGGGGTTGGGGCAGGGCGGGGGTTGGGGAGGGAGGCTCCACGGAGGCGGGGCCTTCCGGAGTCTCCCCGCGGGCACTGCTGGGGACCGCCGCGGCTCAGGGTGCTTGGTAGGGAATCGCTAAGTCAGGAATGAGGAGCGGCCTCCCTCCTCACATGAATAGGTTTCTTTAGCTCTAATTTTTATATGGTTTGATATTTGATTAATCTACAACTCTTTCCAAGAGAAGTAAAAAAGACTTCTATATGTCTAATAAAAAACAAAGAAATAATAATGTAATATAGTATATGTATATATTTCTTCATGAGCTTAAAATTCATTCAAAAGGCCTGATTCCAGAACATAATTTTTTGACTGTGAATGTTTCTTTGTTTATATATCGTTAATGCCTTTAAATGTGTCACTTTCCACCAAACAGAGTCTATAGGTATCATTTGTTAAGTGTGAAAAAAAGTGTTCCATTCTCAACGAAACTGATATATTTGGGGCTGAAACAAGTTAAGTTTCAATTTTGAAGACTTCAGAGCCTATATGTTATTATCTATTATGCAGTACAAGAGGTGCTGAAGTATATGGTGTAAACAACACCCTTCCTTTCTATTTGATGTTGTACTGTAGAATGCTTATTAATATCACTTGGGCACCATATTTATAAATATTTAGGCGTAGTACATAAACTTGGACTTATATTTCTAGTTTTTAAAAAGTTCTCATTCAAGGACATGTTCACTGATTTTTAGAGAGAGGGGAAGAGAGAGACAGAGAGGAAGAGAAACATCGATGTGAGAGAGACAGTCACCTGCCTCCTGCGTGTGCCGGACCAAGGACTGAACCTGCAGCCCAGGCAGGTGCCCTGACTGGGGATCGCTCAGCAGCCTTTTGGTGCCTGGGATGGCGCTCCAGCCAACTGAGCCACCCGGCCAAGGCTATTTCTAATCTATTTTTATAGTAGTTTCCTAACCTAGTTTTTAAAAGCAGTTGAATGGGATGTTTTACTTCTTTTTACTTAAGTTATAAAACTTACGTTCATAAAAATTCAAACCATACGCAGTTATGGTGAATGAAAAGCAAGCACCTTTGCCCTCTCCCAGATCACACCCTCCTCTTCCGGAAGTAACGAGTGTCCGCAGCTGGGTGAGCCCCTCTGTGGTCATTTTTTATACGAAACTATTGAATTCCTACCTTATAAAACAAGAGGAAAATGTCAAACATCTTCAAAATTAGATTGGGGGAAAAGGTTTTTTAAATATTCAGGTACTATATTTTCCCACTGATAAATCGATAGCTTATATTTTTTAATAGTGTCCCATTGGTTTTATTGATAAATGAATTTTTTTACTTTTCATTAACACAAGTGATTAGTTACCAAGGAAGTGGGTTCAAGAATAATTCAATTTCTATAATTTTTTCTCAAGTTATTCTTGATAAATTACGTCTTTAACTTTGACCTTTTAAAAAATCCAAGTAATTTAAGTTGCTCAAAAAAAGAAACATAAATCAAAGCACACCCTCCCTGGCCGCACTGGTAGGGCCTCAGCGCCCTCTAGTGGTGTGGCCTCTATGCTCCGTCGTGCGCGACTAACATTTCAGTGGTAACATTCCTCGTGTTATTAAAATTGTACTTCCTGTGTCATTCATTTAACAAATATTTAAACTACACTTAAAATTCTTTGGTTAAAGTGAGCCATCACCAAGAAAGGGAGGGCCAGTGATGTGGGGGGACAGTGCCCATATATAAAATACCAAGCAGTAACTTTCACCGCTGTGCTCTCTGACCTCACAGCCGTTGGCCGGTCTGGACCCCCTGCTCGCGGCGGCCGCAGGGCCCTCTCCCTCTGAGTTCACGAAGGCAGCGTCCTCGTCTGTAGAGTTGGGATGACGACGACGGTGACAGCATCCAGCAGGCACAGGCCCGGGCTGAGGAAGCCCGCGCGGCGGAGGGAGAGCCGCGCAGCGCGCGTGCGGGCGCTCGGCCGCTGTTCCCCAGCGTGGCCGCTGCATCTGCGCCCGGCGACTGGAAGTGAGATCACAGGACGGAAAGCTTGGGATCCAGCCTCCGGGTTTCCACACCAAAGGCAGCCACTCATCAGAAACAGGCTGGGATTTGAGGGCGGCCAAAGTGTCCAGGCTTGAGAGGAACACTTGGGTGGGGTGGGGGGGGGGGCAGTTTGAGCGAAATGCAAAATACCGTCCAGGTCTCCGGCCTGCCCCGCCCTGTCACGGACTAACTCCTGCGTGACAGGTGGCCAGGGTCGGACTTCGAAAGACCCGGCAGAAATCAGTGTCTGGGAGGACAAAGGGCTGCGCCAGAGCTTCGCTACGGGGCTGAGGCAGCGCTGCCAAGGGTGAGGCGTGAGTTCAAGCCCAGGCGCAGGGGGCGGGGCTCCCGGTGAAGACACGCGAGCGCTGCCTCCCCGCTGGGCGTGAGGCCTCCCTGCTCCGCAGCCGCCCCAGCGCTTTGTTCTGTCTCCTCGGCAGCAGCCCTTCCAACGGGCTGAGGTGCCGTCGCATCGGGGTTTCGACTGGCATCTCCCTCATGACTAGGGACGTTGAGCATCTTTTCATTTATCTGTTGGCCATTTGTAGGTCTTCTGGGGAGTAGTGTTTTTGTCCTCTGCCCATTTTTTAAATCAGATTTTTTTTTCAGGTGAGGCAATTAAAGTTACATTTTCTACAAGCCTTTCCTGCTCCACGGCCCGTTACTTGGGTTTCGGAAGAGCCTGCGTCCCGCGAGTGGCACCTGTCACCTGTTACCAGGACCGGAAGTCTCGCACGTCGGCCCCTGCAGCCTGGCATCCGACCGCCGAGGAAAACAAAGGCAGTCAGGCCCGGGGCGGAGGGAACCGGCCTTTAGTCACCCAGGGGAGGGACGGCGCGAGGCCGGCTTCAGCCGTGAGCCTGGGTTTCTGGGGTCCCGCAGGTCCCTCCCGGGGCCCACGCGAGGCGGATGCCCTGCACACCCCCTCTTGTTGGACAGCAGACCCAGCCTCGCTCTGCGGGGGACGGGCGCCGGCCAGGGGCCACGGGACACGCACACTTCGGGGGAATGAGCAGGTCCGGGTCGGGTCTGAAACAGGGAGAGCGCGCTCAGCCGAGCTCCTTCGGGAGGACAGTCTCCTCAGGAAGCAGTCGCAGGGCTCACAGCCTGTAGGGGGCAGTGGCGGGGGCGGGGGGCGCCTTCCCAAGGGCTGGCTCTGCCGGGGAAGACAAAGCAGTGAAAGGACAGGAGTCACAGAAGGAAAGGGTCGGACAATGTGCTGACCCTGAGCGTGTGTATCGATAGGGAAGCAGCCTACTGAGAGACGCAGACTTTAGAATCCATGTTTTATTTAGTATCTATGGATAATTGAGCGATTTTTAAATTTAAGTTCTCTGAACTTCGTTTCCTCTTATGCAGTCAGAGAGAATGCTACCAGCTTCTAAGTTGCAGGATATTAACTGAGCTAACAGGTAGAACTCCTGCCCTAGGACACCGATATTAAATATATAAATGCTAACGTATGGGGAAAGCTGGGGGATACCTGTGCTGCCTTGAAGTTCTGTAGAGGAAGAAGAGTAGCAAATAATACTCTTAGCAAATAAGAGTAGTAGCATGTAAGTAGTAGTTGCTGGACAGTTTTATTCAATACTTTCATATCTGAATAACTGCTGAAAAAAGAAATGTTCATCAGTTTTAAAGAGATGATAATAGGGAAAGTAATGCTGGTTTGCCAAGTTCATTTGCATGTGGGGCCAATTTCATTGAACTTAAGAAGAGATTACAAGTCTTTGGACCCAGGCTTTATAAATAGCAGTCGGAATGAACACTGTGCTTAGATTCATGGTTCAAGGAAGTCATTATTTTGTTTCTTGATGTTGTAGATTTAACAACATATTGGTAGAAACATGTAACTTCTCACATGCACTAGACATCAAGAGACCAGTTTGTGCATATAAACTGAAAATTGAAAATAAATATTCAGATATTATAAAACTGTAGAATATAAATTAGTTAATTTCCAGAAGGAACAACAACCAAAAAAAAAAAACCAGTATTAATAAAGACTGGTCTTTTGCATCATTCTCAAAAATTCTTCCTCATTTATTTCTCCATCTCTATCACGATCAGCTTCATCAAACATTTCCTATAAAAGAAAATGTAAATATAATGTAAAATCTATGAAAAATGAATAATGATATAAATGAATATTCAAATATATACTAAAAACATAATTCTAAATATATGAGTACAATTAAGACTGTAACTGTAAATTATAATATGTAGATAATTGTACATAATTATACATGTAAATTATTGTTATAAACATAAGTAAAATTTACCTGAAGTTCGTCATCTGTTAAATTTTCCCCAAGTTCCTTAGCAACCCTCTTGATGTTGTTTAATGTTATGCTTCCAGTATCATCATCATCAAATAATTTGAAAGACTTCAACAGTTCTTTCTTTTCATCTTTTTCACTCTTTAAAAATAGAAACAACAAAATGTTATTGGTCTTTCATTTATTTATCCTTTGAAGCTGGACTTACAGGTCTTCGAGGTGTAGAGCAGCACTATACCAGGTAGCTGAGCTCTGACCTCACCTACCGCGCTGCCTTTTAAAACGGTGCCCCTGCGCTCATTCCTTGCCGAGGTGTTTACACGCAGGGCTGCTGAAGTGGGAGAGGCGCAGGTGGTAACGAGGATGTCTGTCTTATTAATCCCAGTAGTTGAACTCCATTACAAAAATGTGAGCCCCAAGAGAACAAGGAAGTCGTCTCATTCAGTGTCCCCAGAAGGGTGCTAGGCAAAAGCAGGCACTCAGTGAAGGCTTGTGGGATTCCAGGCTTCCAGTTGCTAGTCCCATTCCCTCCCTCCACCCACATGTCCTGTGATTCCCTGACACAAAAGCCCTTCTGCACACCAGATGGGCTTCGTCACTGCCCTGAAAACATCTTTAATCTGCTATTCCTGTCTAAACCTCAACCATGTTTAAATTCTTCTATGAAACCTTTGATTGCTCCTACCAAAAATATGGAGAAGGCTACTGATTGTATTTCTTTGAAAAACACAATTCCTACTATACCATTTTTACACTCATCATGGCAAAAAAATCTTCAAAATTAATGGTGCCAGTTCCTCCTTTGTCGATTTCAGCTATCAGTTTTTTAACTTCTTCTTTCTTTGGTTCAAATCCCAAGGCCTGCATTGCAATCTGAAATAGGAAGCAAATATATTATCATATGCCACAATCTCATTCTTAGTTTTTAAATGATTTATTAGTTACTACTCTCTCTCTCTCTTTTCTTTTTCTGTGGACAAGTTACACACTCAGAAAGTTGGCCAGCAGGCCTTCCAATCCTGCTGCACCGTGGGACACATCACTGTCTAAAACAAGAATAAACTGCTAGACAAGATACTGTTTGGTGGGTGTGAGCCGGCTGTCTGCATGGAAGGGACTTGATATCCAGCTTTCAGGAGGTTACTGCTAAAGACTTAAAAGATTGCCACAAATAAATGATATGCTTTTTAAAATGTCTTAGAATTAGAAGTAACTTTTGGACCTTCAGTTCTTTTACATCTATGGTTCCAGACCCATCGACATCGAATATATCAAAGGCCTCTTTAATTTCTTGTTTTTGAGTTTCACTCAGTTCAATTTTTGCCGCTCTTTTCTTCGGTTGGCCTGAACTTGTGTGGTTGTTGGATGCCTGTAATAAATACACATGTGGGTGAAAGACAAGCTACGTAACCAGAAAAGTTACCAGAACCAGAATCATTGATGCAGTGGATGTGAACTAACTAAATACAAGAATCGTTGCCAAATATCCTCTTCTAACTATACAGGGAGCCTCAGCAGGGGCCGCCTTTCCCCGTGCGAACATTTTTGCTTTTGTTATTAATACATTGGTGGAAAGCCTGTTTTGGGTTTTTGTTTTGGTTTGGATTTTTGTTACCAATTAGGTTTTTCCTTCAAATTAGTGCCTTTAGAGGAGAAGAGGCAAAGGCAGACATGCTGAAAGAGATGTCACAGAACACAGTCGGCGGTACTGGGTGTATCTGAAAAGCAGTGTGAAGGCACCTTCACTTCCTTTATGCCTAACTGTCTCATCATTAAACTTATTTTGTGGGATAGGCTGGATGGGAACATAATACCCTTCTCCACCTTCTAGCCTCCATTCCTATATTGCAGGTGAAAAGCTACTCCAGGGATCTGCGTAAGAGTACATGTTGGGCCAGTCCTTGTGTCCAGGGAAGGCGGGGGTCATCCTCGTGCTCTTAGCCATTTTCCACTGGCAGGCGAGGTCCGAGTGCCTCGGGGCCTCTTCTGCAGCTTCATCTGGGCACCTCGTCGCCCGCAGCCTCCGGGTGAGGAGCAGCAGTGGCAGAGGCAGCACCCGGCCGGACTCCGCGTTCGGCGCCTCGGCGGCCAGCGCCGCGCGTGCCAACGGGTGTGGCGGCGGCCGGGTCTCGATCCCCCGGCGGCAGGTCCACGGTGGAGCAGCCTCGGCACCTCCAGCTTCCCGGCTGTGCGGAGCCCCTTGGTTCCTCCTAGGGCCCAGCCCCTCCAGCTGTTTCCGCGTCTTATTCTTTGTATGTAACTCTTTTCTGGCTAAAGAGTGGTTTCTGTTTCCAACAGGGAGCCTACCTGAGGCTGGAGGTGCGAGCGGGTGACGGGGCTGAGGAGGGAAAACGAATTAGGGAACCGCTCTTCTGTCCCTAGAGCCGCGGACGACGCGCTTGTTTGGCAGTAAGAGGAGGGGTGACTAACGACCCTCGAGGATTAGGAAAAGGAGGCGAATAACCAATACGTGTCACGATCTAATCCTTCCTTGCTCCGGGGAGGACCGTCAGCCCCAGCCCCAGCCCCAGCCCCAGCCCCAGCCAGAGGTTACAGCGGCGCACTCACCATGTCGCCCACTGACGCCCACCCGCCTCCTCCGCCCGCCGCGTAGCGCAACACTAAGCAGCCTCCTCGGCTCCGAAGCCGTTGCTAAGGCCGCTGCTGCAGATCTCAGGAAGCCCCGCCCACCCAGGCTTTCCAATGCTGATTGACAGTCATTTTACCCAGTAGTCAGAAAGAGACGCCCTAAGGCCGGCCCCCTCTTTACTATTGACCAATAGCGTGACGTCTTGCCTTCCCACCTACCATTAGGCGGAACTCGCGGTCTGGTTTCCTAGCGACCAGGCCCGCCGCCGGCCCGCGCGGCCACTTTCGCTCTTGCACAAACTGCGTCGTGCGGGGCGGGGGCCGACTTCGGCCCGCGCTCGGGTGTGCCTGTGCCCCCAGAACCCGCCAGTTGGTGGGAAGCGGACTGTGGAGTCTCCCGTGGGGCTGGAGAACAGAGCGAGGTTAGTAGCGAGATGCTTCCCCCGACTGCTCGGTCTTTGATGGAGTCCGGGGAGCCCTTGTTTGCTTTCCTTACGCTTGGGCCTGGGAAAGGGTGAGAATGGAGGGCCCGCCGGGTCCGGGGGACGTGGGCCAGAGGCAGAGAGACCCGCCGCTGGCGCCTGCGGTGGGGTCGTTGGCCACTTGCCTCCTGTCCTGTTCGCGGAGTTTCGGCGCGGTGCGGGGGCGCGATCGGAGGGAGCGGGTGCAGGGGCGCGGTGGGCCTCGGATGCCCTGGAAGCCTCCTTGCATAGGACGGAGGGTATACCTGTGTTGTGGTGTGTATCTGCCGGGGAGGATTTCGGCCCCACCCGCGAGCGCCCCCAGACGTCTGCACACACACGCAGGGCCCGGCGAAGTCCACCCGGCGAGCGCCCCCAGACGACTGCCGGGGAGGGATGGCTCACCCTCAGCCATCCCACTGGCTGACCCCCAAGATCTGGCCGGCGATCCAACCACATCCTGCCCAGATCCGCATTCTCGAGTAGGACACAGGTCGCCCGGTAGTCCGGGTGACTCAGTGACAGCCAAGAGATAGACACCCGTATACCTGCTTGAACCAAAGCAAAGGCTTGTGCAGAGCGCCAGACCTGCTGGTTGAAGAGGAGTCTTACGCATTAGAATGAGGTTAGATTATGGGACACCTGTGTTGAGCTTGGAAGGAACGACTGGGTTTTCTAAGATAAGCAGATGTTTTTAGGCAGTGGGACAGCCTGATCATATTTGTGCTTTTCAGCAGTCACTGTTTACAGGAACCATTTTGAAAACAATGAAGGGGCCTCAACCAAGGCCGCAGCAAATAAGAATCGTGTCCACTCCAAAGGGGCCTGATCCCTACAGCCAGGGTGGAGGGGTACCGAGAGGGCCATTGATTTAATCTTGTTTCAGTTTTGTGCTTCAATTTAAAATCGTTCATACGGTGAAAACCAATCACGCAGTCACTCGTAAGCAGTCAGACAATATCTCGGGTACGTGCAATACTTCAGTCGCTACAATTGCCCCCCCACCGCCCCCGGAAATTACATTCCAAGAAAGGAGATAGTCAGTAAGTAAGTAGTAGATTAGTAAACTGTGTACTGTGTGCAGATACGTGTTACAGGAAAAAAGAAAGTGCAGAGCAGATAAAGGAATGCAGAGTGTAGAGTGGGAAAGAGTTTGGGGTGTTGGATAAGGTGCTCAGGTGGGCCCCATCGAAAAGGGGACATTGGAGAAAATGTTTAAAGGTGGCGAGGCTTTGGATTCCTTGGGGAAGAGCATTCCAGAAGAGGGAACAACAGAACAGAAATGCTGGGGTAGGGAACCTGCCTCGCCCGTTCAGGAATGGAAGGGCGGTGGAGCAGAGGGGGCTGGGGGGAGAGTAGCAGCAGACAACGTCCGGCAAAGGCGGCGCAGGAGTGCGCATAGCCCGGACGGTGTAAAGGCTTTCAGGGACGTGGGAAGGCTCTACGAGGTTTTGAGCAGAGGAGTGAAAAGACATGAGTTAACTTTTAAAAGGGAGTCCTGTGTCAGATAGGGGAGAAGAGACTTTTATTTTCCAAAGCAGTGGAATGATGTGACCAGACTGTGGTACTGGGAATAGACTGAAGCTAGGCAAACTGTTGGTTTTGACGTGATGAAAAAAGCTAATTATACCTGTCAGAAAATATTACTTTTTAAAATAATGCATCTCCTGAAAAGGCGTCAAATGTCTTAGGATTCTGAGCCAAGTACCTCAGCCAAGACTAGTCACGATCTCAGACAAGAAAGCGCCTTCTGATGTCCGAGTCCCAGTGGAGGGCCGAGCCCACTGTCCGACTTGCGCACTTAGAGAATTAAAGCAACGCCAAGCTGGCAAGTAACATTGCTGTTCATGGAAAACGCTGCTGATGCGTAGCAGAACATGATCAGATTGCGCCAGTTCAATGCCAAGAAAAGTTGCTGGACGTACTTTCATCTTTGAAAGGATCTATGTCACCATCCCCTTCACCATCTTCGCCTTTTTTTACTCAGCTTCTTAGAAGATGAGGGATTCTTGTTTTCTTTTTATTTTATGTTAATTATAGCAAGCTGCAATTTCTTCAAAATAACCATTTAGGAGCGCTTCTAAATTTAGGAATGCTAAGCCTTTTTTTAAAAGTTACTGAAACTTGGGATAGACTCTTCAAATGCTGAAATAGATCTTGTATTAATTTTGATATCAATTTTTGCTTGTAGATTAGTTAAAATAATTTAATGTTTCTCTTGGGAAAACTTTATCGCATAAATACAGACTAAATTTTAAATAGCCTATGCTACCTTCCTTTTGCTCTAAATTCTTTATGACTTTTCCACTCATCTAGTACTTTCTTGGGATTTAAACATAGTATAGAAAGGAAACCATAAACAGAGACTCTGACACCTGGGCGCGGGGGGGGGAGGGCACATCCGTGGTGTGAAGAGCGTGAACAGGCCGGGAGGAAGGCAATCTGGGCAGGGGAGGGTTCCACAGGAGAGGCTGAGTCTCTGCCCTGCTGGCTAGAGGTCGTCATTAATAGCATGGGGCTGGGGCATCAGACAGGCCTGGGTTTTAGTCCATAACTTTTCACTTACTACTGCAAGATTTTGTATATGTTACTTCACTGTTCTTCGTTTTCATGTCATTAAAACTGGTCAGTTATAGTTCCTACCTTATGTTGTTGTGAGAACTACACATGTGAAGGGCCTCAGACTTAGTAAGTTCTCAAAACCTGTTAGAAATAAAAACAAAAGCAAAAAGCGAGTCTTATCCTGTCAAGTTTGTTTTCTCAACAGATTATTCTGGAGCAATTGGCTCTAACTCATAACGGAAAAAATGACCCACACCTCGTACCATTTATAAACATCAGTTTAAGGTAAATTGTAAATGGAAAACCTAAAACAAAAAGAGCAAAGTAGGAGAACTCTCACTTTCTGACTTCAAAACTTATTACTTGTCTACAGTACTCAAAACAGGGTGGCCCGGCTTAAGGGCAAGTGAACTAGAATGGAGAGTTCACCCGCAAACTTATGTGTTGTTGCCCATTGATTTTCGACAGAGGGCCAAGACCACTCAGTGGGGAAAAGAATAGCCTCTTCAGTGAATGGTGCTGGAACAATTTGATTTTTAAATGAAAAAAAAAACAAACCAAAATGAAGTTGGACCCCAACCTCACACCATATACAAAAGTCAACTGAAAATGTATTAGTGAATGTTATACAAAACTGTAAAACTTTTTGAAGAAAACACTGGGTAAATCTTCAGGACCTTGGATTTGACATGGATTCTTAGATATGACTTCCAAGAGCATGAGCAACAGAAGAAAAAGTAGACAAATTAGACTTCGTTAAAACTGAGAATTTTTACATATCAAAGTACATGATACAATTACAATCTACTGAACGAGAGAAAATATTTGCAAGGCGTATTTTGATGTTTCTTATATCCAGAATATATAAAGAACTCTTGCAATTCAACAACACAAAGAGAAACAGCCCAATTTTAAAATGGGCAAAAAACTTGAATAGATATTTCTCCAAAGAAATATACAAGTGGCCCAAAATCGCATGAAAAGATGTTTAAAAACATTAGACATTAGAGAAATGCAAAACAAAACCCCAATGAAATTTCACTTTAAACCCACTAGATGTCTATTATTAAAACAAAACAAACGAAAAATAAGTTCTGGTAAACACAGAGTTGAGCAGTGTTCCCCCCAAATTTATGTCCACCCAGAATCTCAAAAAATGATTTTATTTGGAAACAGGGTCTTTGTAGATATAATTATGTAAAATGAAGTTGTACGGGATTAGGAAACCCGATGCCTGCCGTCCCTCCAGCTTGCTATAATTAACATAAAATAAAAAGAAAACAAGAATCCCTCATCTTCTAAGAAGCTGAGTAAAAAAAGGCGAAGATGGTGAAGGGGATGGTGACATAGATCCTTTCAAAGATGAAAGTACGTCCAGCAACTTTTCTTGGCATTGAACTGCCTAGAAAACCCTAAACCCAATGACTGTTGTCCTTTAAAGAGGGCCCTATGGAAGAGAGGCAGAGATTGGAGTTATGGCGCCAAAAGCCAGACACCTCTGGAAGCAACTGGAAGCTGGAAGAGGCAAAAAAGATTCTTTTCTAGAGCCTTGGAAAGGTACGTGGCCATGCAAATACCTGGACTCAGCTGCTATAGAAACCAGTGTGGCAGTTCCTCGAAAAGTTCAGCATGGACCGACCACAGGACCCCTCCTGGTGTGTAGCCAAAAGAACTGAAAACGGGGACCCAAACATTTGTACACAGATGTTTGCTTGCCCTACTCACAGGAATCAAAAGGTCCACGGAGGGAGGGATGGATGGATCAACCCAATGACGTACACGTACTGTGGAATGTTACTCAGCCACAAAGGGAATGGTGTGTTGACCCGGGATGCAGTGAGGACGAACCTCAGAAACAGTACGCTGAGTGAGATAGGCCGCGCTAAGGGTCCATACTCTATGAGTCCATTTACATGAAATACCAGAATAGGTAAATCCTTAGCAACAGAAAGCAGTGTGGCGTTTGCCAGGGGCTGGGATGAGGAGCACAGGGGGAGGCTGCTCCCTGGCTGCAGGGCTTGCTTTTGGGGAGATGGAGATGCTTGGGAACTAGTCACAGGCAGAGGTCGCACAACACTGTGAATGTACTTCGTGCCTCTGAATTGTACACTTTAAAATGGTTAAGTTTGGTATGTGAATTTCATCTCCATTTTTAAAAAGACTAAACTGTAATGCTTTTAGAAGCAATATAAAAGAACGTCCTTTGTACTCAGTGGTAGGCAACACTTTTAAAAATAGAACCAGAAAGCTATAACCATTAAAAAAAAAAAAAAGAACGACTAGGGAAATGGGCTGCCAGGCAGTGTTAAGGCCATTTGACACCATCAGCAGGGTCCTGGGTGTTTTTCTGTTTGTTTTCAGCTGCCCCGGCAAGTGCGGAGTAGAGAGAGCTGGATTTCTTCAACACCAGTGGCTTTGCAGGGTGAGTGAGACGGACCCCAAGAGGGACAAGGGTTCTGAGGGCGATTGTAGTAACTGATAAGTGGGAGCTACACTGGGTGAGCCGAGGATTAACAACACGGGCCGAGGGGTGAAGGCAGCAAGAGCGGGGCAGGATCAGGGCCGGGTAGGACTCGGTGGGGGAGGATTACTGGAGTTGTGTATTTTGATGCTGTCGAGGGGTGTGCGTGTATCGGGAGTTATTTTTATTCTATAGACTTGAGAACCGCACAAAAGAGAATTTGAAACTGAGTTCAAACAGCCCGTTTTATGTTCCCCTGGACTCTACTGGCTTTGCTCCTTCGTCCCTGGCAGTGGCAGGAAGCTGCCGCTGCGGAGCTGTGCTCCGGCCTCCTGCTGGCCTCGGTGCGCCTTGAGCCCGGTGCTCACTCCTCAGCTGCAGGGGTGAATTAGGCGCTCCGGTCCCCTTACCAGTGCTGGGCCGGTGCTGGAGGAGAAGGAACCTCCGAGTCATATGCTCTTTGATGGTTTGGATTTAAAAGATGGTAATAAACACATTAGTCAAGGAATTATAATGTGTTAGAGGTAGAAGAGAAGTTCATATTTTCTACAGTTTTAGTTCTAGTACTTTAACTGAGAGCTCATACCCATGAGACAGCTTTTCAATTACTTTGCTTAAAAAGCTGTTTTTATTGGGCTAAAGTCTTTCTCTTGTAACTTCTTTCTGTTAGTTTTAGATGTGAATTCTGAAGATTATGTGGGAAAAGTCCAATTGTTCTTGAGTTTCCTTTGAATACTGCTTTTTTTCCTTTTTGATATTCTAATCAGTGACCACATCTATCGTTCTCCCCTCCATCCCCCCGCCCCCTTCTCATCCAGTAACTACAGAATGGTCCTAACAGGCCCCCTGCCTGCAGTCTGGCACCTGCCCATTCAGTTCCAACCCTCTTGGCAGCGTAGTGGTAATAGATCCAAACACAGACAGTAGCAGCAGTAATAGTACTAGCAGCAGCATATATAGCGAGTGCTCGGAGAGCACTAATTCTGCGCCAGGTGCTGTTCTGAGCATGGCTCTCGTTCCTGCTCCTAACAACACTGGGAAGTGCCCTGTGTCTCGGGCAGAGCAGTCAGTGACTCGCCGGAGGCTGTGCCCGAGAGCTGAGCTCAGGCCCCGCTGCTGGATTCGGAGAGCGTGCTCCACCCGCTGCCTCACGCTGTCTCCTGCCCTCGTAGGCGAAGCCCTCCTGTGGTTCCCGGAGCCGCAGCAGGGGCAGGGACCTATGGCCCTGCAGGCTGCGAGCCCTCGCCTCCTGTAGCGCGTCATGTCCTGCACGTCCCACGCCCTTTACACTCCCCTAACACTCAACTGCTTGTTTGGCCCCAGCACCCCCTGAGTTTTCACGTATCTGCATCTCCTGCCACCTCCTTCAACTTGCTGGCTCTGTCAGATGATTCTTCAAGACTCAGTCCTGGCATCACCTTCTTCTGGAGCCAGTGCCTGTGCCCCCGCCCCCGCCGTGGGACAAAGGGCTCCCCCCCCAGCCCCCACACCTCCACTCCCGCACGGCTGCGTGTGACGGAGGCTGCGCGGTCCAGAATCTCCTCGGGGCGGGGACTGTCTCACTGTCCCTTGTAAGCGTTCTGAAGCGTAAACTACGCTCAGTAACCTCCCAGGTGTTTATTTCATTTGCAGATGACGGCGGGGTGATGGCTTGCTGGGGCGTAAACAAAAGGAGGCACGTGGGACTCCAGCAGCTCGCGTCCTTCGCACACGCAGGAAGGACCTTCCTGGGCCCAGTCAAGTCCTCCAAGTTCGTTGTGGACGAAGAGGGTCAGGAGAGTGTGCTAGTCAGTTCAACAGCCCGGCTCCTGGAAAGGCTGGACCTGTCTGGCGCGGTAGGGCAGCTGCTCAGGGAGGCTGTCCAGGCCCAGAGCAGCGCCTACGGGACTGGGGCCAGCACCCTCCTGTCTCTCGCTGGCGCATGGAGCAGCGCCGCCGCCGAGTGCCTCCACCTGGGGGTCCCCGTGCCATCCATTGTGTCGGGCATGGCGGAGGGCTTGGCCTCCTGCATGGAAGAGGCAGCTGTCCTTCAAGTGCCTCTCCACCATGTCGTGGACCAGATGGGCAGTACGCAGCCGTCTTCTGGGCCTGGGTCATCGGGTGTCAGTTTGGGTCTCTCTCTACAGACGCCTTCAGAGACTGGTTTGATGCCGGAAGAGTGTGGTCCCCAAGAGGTTGCCTCTCAGTCATCAGCCATTTCCAGTGTTGCTGGGGGACCTGTTAAGTCAACCAAACTTTTCAGACCTAAGGCTACAGTCGGAACAGATGAAAACCCGTCGCAAACCCCCCTGACTCTGAGAAGCAGTCTGCTTGCAGACCCCCGCAGCGGAAAGCGCATACTGACCCACAGTAGGCACTGCAATCGGGCAGGCGATGCTCGCTGGGCGAGCAGGCCAGGTGGAGTTCTAGAACAATGTGCAGCCGCTCCCCCTGCCCCCTGGTGCAAGGAGCTGGCAGAGCTGGCGGCGGGCCTGAGCCACGGAGACGCCGGCAGCATGAAGCTGGTAGAGGCGGCCGTGCGGCTGCAGCACCAGCGGGCGGGCCCACACCGGGGCAGCCCGGCGGCGCCGTTCTTGTTCGACGTTTCACGAGTCTTCACTTGCTGTTTGCCAGGCTTCCCCGAAGCCGCGTCCTGCGTCTGTGCGGGATATGTCACCGTCGTGTCAGCAGCTTGCGCTGCCCTGCTCGGGGACTTACCGAGCCAGCCTCTCCGAGTGGTTCTCCTCGAGGGGGACCTCACAGAGAGCTACCGCCACCCGGGGTTTAACAAGGCTGCAAATGTCCGAACAGTGTCAGAGAGCGCAGAGAAACTTCACCGAGACAGCCCCGGGGAACTGTGGGCAAACCACGTGTTGCAGGTGTTGGCTGGGCTCGGCGTGCACCTCGTGCTGGTGCAGGGAAGCGTGTCGGAGCTGCTGGCTGAGAGGTGCGCACGCAGCGGGCGGTTGGCTATCGGGTCGGTGCCCGGCCGCGTGATGCGGATCTTCGCGGAGGCTTCCAGCGCCACGCCGGTGACCTACACCTCGCAGGTGAGCGCCGCCACCGTGGGCAGCGGGGTCTGCGTGGCCGCCTGGGGCGGTGCTCCCGGGGTCGTTGGCGATGGAGTCAATGGAAGGGCGATCGTGGTGAAAACGGAAGGGATTAATTTGGTCACGGCGGTGCTCACTGGCCCTGTCGCGGCACAGGTGCAGACCAGAGAAGACAGGTTCTGGGCCTGCGCCTACCGTCTGCACTACGCTCTGAAGGAGCACAAGGTCTTCCTCGGAGGCGGTGCGGTTGAGCTTCTGTGTCTTAGCCACCTGCAGGCTCTCGCGGAGCTGCCTGTGGCTGCCGGAGACCAGGCCCGCTCTGGAGGGCGGCCGGGCGCTGCCCCACGGCTGGCCGCGGCACCGGCGCTCCACAGACCCGCCGTGCTCCGGGGCCTGGCCAGCGGGTGGCGCCAGTACCTCTCCACTCTCCTGCGTAACGCCGCCGGTCACTCCTCGGAACTGGAAGCCTGGACTTTGATTCAGCACCATCTGCAACGCGCCGCAGACTCGGGCTCTCCTTCGTCTTACATCTTGAATGAATATAGTGAACTGAGTAGTGGAATTTTTAATTTAGGCAATTCAAATCAGCTGGGGCACAGCCCCAGAGTCTACGACACCGTTACGCCAAAGGTGGAGGCATGGCGCCGCGCCCTGGATCTAGTGCTGTTAGTGCTGCAGACAGACAGCGAAATCATTACTGGGCGTGGGCACGCCCAGATAAAGTCACAGGAGTCGGAGGGCTTTTTGTTTTTGTAGGGTTATTGGCTAAGTCTTTGGGAAATAATCTTTTGTGATATGCTGATAATAAATTTTCTAGTAGACGAGTCACCGTGCCTAAAATGCTAGCTTTTACCAAGAAAAATTGATGTCCATCAGTAACTGTGCAAGGTCGGGAATCCACCCCACTTACAAGTTCACCGGTTAGCCTGCTACTCTTTCACAGGAAGGGGATGATGCAGAACCCACGAGACACTTTGGTCAGAGACAAAGGAGTTCTATGACTCAGTGGAGGCAGCAGCAGAGCCCTGTGCGGGTTTGCCACAGTTGCCCAGCGTCCCAGAGCGGCAACACGAAGGGCCAGGGGTGGAAGCTGGCACAGCCATGGGTCCCGTTAGAGAGCGGGTCACTGAGCTTAGGGCAGTCACTGCGTTTACAACGAGCAGAACCGGGCCTGTACTTTGTCCAAGCGGAGCGTTACTTCCCGCGTCGGGGTTACAGAGCAGCATAGCACACGCCTGGAACCTGGACCTGGTGAGGATAGGGCCGGTCCTCGCGCTCATGGCATCCCTAGAAAGTGTGCCCAGGGCCCAGAGCCCATCCTGGGCAGCTGTGTCCGCAGCCTGCACTCAGCCTGATACGGTCTTGGCCAAACTTGAAGTTCCAGGTGAGCATGCCACTCGCCGGCTGCCCTGGCTACTTTGACAAACAGGTCGTTTAGTTGACACCAGATCCATCCAGCTGGTCTCACACAGCAATTAAATAAGGCTGCTGTCAACATCGGAGAGCCCGCGAAGCCAGTTTACAGTACTGATCGCGGTTCTGGCCCCCATGGACTTCAGCTTAGTCGGCTGTGAATTCCAGGGCCTCGTAGGTCTCTTTACTAGCCAGGATGTAGTCCAAGACCGATTATCCAGTATCACCCATGCAAGGGAGTTTTGACTGACTTGCTGATCTTTGGTGTCATTTTCAAAAAAATTCCAGGAATGCAACCGCCATCCCTGGTGGAGGACCTTTCTCCCGCGGCCACTCTCCCCACCTACAGGACCTCCATAGGCCCAGGCCCCTCTGCTTCCGGGTTCGTTGTGAAACCTGATTTGAATGGCCCATACTTGGATTTCATTAAGTCACACAGCTAGTGTCACCAAGCAGCTGCAGCCTCTTGTCATATGGGGCGATATCTGAGGGGATTCAAACATATGTTAGGGACTGTGATTTAATTACCCTCATGCTCGGGTAAGAGACTGGGATTTGGGGTTTAATGTTGTTTTAAACATGATCACGTGACCATCTTACACAGCTCCTCATCCCAGGTGTGTATATTGTTGTTGTTCAAAATTAGAAAAATAATGTTGAGTGTTGAACAGTTTTTAAAAGTAAAATATATTATTTTACTTGAGTAGATATTGACACCTTTACTCTCCTGTATACTATGCTATTAACACTTAGGTTTTGTTAAAATACTGCACAGGTTATGTGTGCCACTGATATTAATGTAGATAGTGGTTCACCTCACTTTGTATGATGGGTTTTTTGTGAAGCTGGTATTTGCATGTTATTTAGTAAAATCTTACCTTCCCTTTGAAACTAGAGGTCTCACTACAACAGATTTTGTAAATCACAGTAGACTAAAACTCTTGGCTCAGTTCATGTGAGTATTCTTGCTTCCTCTGGCAGTTCGGTCGCAAGTGTAAATGTGAAAGTAGCTACTTGCTCTAGGCAGCACCTCTGTGAGTTTGGTCCGTACGAGCTACTCCCTGATGAGGGTGACCCTCTGCTGCCCTCACCGGCGTCTGTGGGCCGGCAGAGCTGTGATTGTGAGAAGCCTCCATTCGGCGACTGACAGGCATGCGGCCTGCGAGACCCTGGGCCACTTTGACCCCGGCGCTTCCCCCACCCCCACTAAATCGAGCGGTTCAGAGTAGAACAAGAACATGAACCAGAGAGCCAGGAACTGCCCCCAAACAGGCTCCAGGGGGTGATGCTGAGACTTTTAACAAAGTGACATTATATTTTAGTGACATCCCCACAAACATTGTGAAATAGTTTTCAATGAGCCATTCTAAAAAATCTAGTTTCTCTGTTATTTTAAAGTGAGTTCTCACCTGTGGTCCCTTAGTACGTTTCTACGGAGCTCTTTAGCCAGCAAAGGTCTCCCCTCAGGCAAGAGGCTCTGCTCCCCATGAGGCCGACCCTGGGGTGAGGAAGCCCCCCAGGCTGGCAGGTGGCCTGGTCTCCCTTCCCGGCTCCCGAGCGAGCGGCCCTGGCAGGCCCTTACTTTGCGTCTGACTTTATCGCTGACCAGCCTGATTTCATGCTCTGGCACCTTCATTCTCCCGAAATACTTTTAATTCTTCATCTTGTAGAGTTCATGTTGTCTACTAAAATAGCCCGGCCCGTTCTTTCACCTCTTCATCTTTAACCGGGGATCGCCTTTCCCTCTTGCCCAGTTCATGCTTCATCCTGGGGTTTTTCTCACACACTCGTGCGCGTGCGCGTGCACCTTTTATTGCTTTCCGTTACTCTGCAAGAGTGAAATTTTTGGTCTCTTCCAACCTCCACAAACACACACCAACGAATCATTAACATTCAGTGTGGTTCTCCAAGCCCCTTCTGTGTGTGTAGATGTAGAAATGTTTTTACAGTCCGTAATTAGGATCGTACTAAACACATCACCATAGAACCTGCTTCTGTCAGGTAATACATTAAGAAATTGACCCAATGTTGCAAATAGAGCTCAGCAAAATTCCTTCAGTGGCATCGTGTTACTCCAGGCCAATGACCTACTGTGATTTATTTCACGGATTTCCTATTAGACATTTAGTCCTGTTCCAGTTTGGACACTATTACAAACAAGGCTATGAAAAATGTATTTGTAGCTGCATCTTTCCTCTTATTTGTCATTATGTCCCTTGGAGAAAATTTTATTGGCTATTGAGTCAACAGGTAGGTGGGTATCTTAGCTTTTTTTAATATATTTTTGCCAAATTCTTCCAAAGCTTCTGCAAGTGAAAGTGTCATTTCCATAGCCATTGTCCCCACTGGATATTAGAAAATTTTGTTTGAAATTTGGGTGAAAATGGAATCTCGTCTCTTACCTTCCTTTGATTATTAGTGAGGAAGAAAGGGCAGTAATGTTTCTTTATATTTCAGTGTTTGTAAAATTTCTGTATTTCCTTCCTTTGGTGTTATGTTTAGAAAGGTCTTCCCAACCCCAAGATTACACTGCAATCACCTATACAGACTTCTAGTAATTTTATGGTCTTATTCTTCTTTCACATTTAAATACTTAGTCCATCTGGAATTTATTTTAGTAGACAGCTTGAACTCTAAAAGAACTTTTTCCAAATGATTATCCACTTGTCCCAGCATCACGCTAGAGTTTTTGTTGCCCACTGAGATACTTCTTAGCAGTGAAGAGGAAATACCAGCAGAAAAAGAGGTTCTCAGTTGCTCAGGAACATTTTCACGCCTTTCTAATGATGGATTCATAGTGTCCAGCGTTCTTTTCTGCTATGATAGTAGCAGCATATTCTACTGAAAAACGAATACGGTACACACGTCACACCAGCAGTGGGGTGATACAGGCAGCGCCCCTTTATGACAGTTGTCCTATACAAGATTGAGAGCTACGTGCTCCCACAGAAGCGCTTTAAAATATGCAAGGTTGTCCGAATTTTACCATGAAAAACCTGAAAGATTTCTTTCTTTGACCTGTAGGTGGCAAACTTCCACCCTCATGCTCTTAAAAAACCGACCTGCTGGTTTCAAGTGCACAGAATGGAAAGCGATGATTTTGGTTTGGGGACGCGTGAATGGAGGGCAGGAAAGGTGAAGGCCGTTCCTTCTTGTTAGTGTGGGTTCGCAGACGGTCGCAAAGACCTGGAACCGCCTCCCACCTCCCGCCTCTGCGGTGAGCTTGCTGTGGCTCAGGAAGGCGGCCGGTCTGGGCCTCTCACCTTTAAGTGGAACTGGAATGACGTCCTCCCCACTATAGTTTCCAGCTCTGACTCTCACGGTTCTTGGAACCAGTTTAAATCCCTGACAGATTTGGAGTGATAGTGAGGTTCACTTGAAAGGAGGGAAAAGATTAAATTGCTTCTTAAAAGAGCATAATAAGGCCAAACTAAAATTGGTGGCAAAAGCTTTAAAACATGATGTTTATAATGTTGGGGTTTCAAAACTGGCCAATTATGGATTCAGACCATTGCAATGACTGACTTTATTGCCGACCGGAGGTAACAGTAGAGAAGGACGTGCCTTTTTTTATCGAGAGGAAAAAGAATGAGCTGAGAACTGCTGTCTTTGCAGCCCTATCCGTAAATTACAAAGGGTTCAAAGGTAGAACATAAATCGGCAAGAAGCGACAATATAAAATATAAAACCCAAAGAAGCCAGAATAACGTGGATGGGCAATACACTGGGGGATATTAAAAAAAGAGAAGAGCTACTGAACACAGGACACATTTTTTCATATTTCAGGAATACATACATTTGCAGTGACAGGGGGCTACGTGGGACACACCCTGAGAGGCGTCCTGTGCGAAGTGTGTGAACACGAACACCCACCCCCGAGCGGCAGGTGGGGCTCCATGAGCTCAGGCGGCCCGGCCACGCCAGTGTCCAAGGCTTCCTGAGAGCCGCCGTCGCGCCCCCGCGCCCCCGCGCCCGCGCCTCCCCCGCCGACTGTCTGAGCGGCCGCGTCCCTCGTCCCCCGTCTCCCGCCCTCGGGTGGCCGCGCCCGCCCGCACCCGGCGCTGGGTGGGCCTGCGGAGGGCGCTGGGAGGCGCTGCGGGCTGTGGAACGACCGCCCTGCGCCTCCGCGCCTTTCTCGGCGCCGGCCGCCGGCGTCGGTGCGTTCGCCGCCAGTGTCCAGGGGGCCCCGCGCGTTCGCCCGAACGCCCGGCTTCCGAGACGGGCAGCTCCTCCTGGAGCCGCGGGAGCGAGCGGAGTGCTCTCCGTGCGGCCCCCTCTGTGAGGCTGAACGCCGCTCAGAGGAGGCGCGGGAGGCGCGGGAGGCGCGCGGGCCCCGGCGCAGCGCGGGTAGAGCGCCTGGAAGGCGGCGGCCTGCCCGTCGGAGCGGACGCGGACTGTCTGATCCGACCTCGGGCTCGGGGCGGCGGGGACGCCTGCGTTGGGGCGCCGCGGGGAAAAGGCCAGTCGGCTCAGCTGTCAGTGGTTCGCGTGGGAAAGTGGTCACAGTAGCATAAAAATGGAAGCAAACCACATATTCCACACTGGCGGTGTTTAGACAAATAGGA